GGGTCTGCAAATAACAGGTTGAAAACCACTGCTGTAGCTGGACTACCTGCCTGACCTGGTATTGCATTTGTCACATTATATTTTACTATTCATTGCTATGATTTTGAGAAATAAAGCAGGAACATGGAACAGGCCAGGACACCTGGGGCATGAAGTCCAGACCTGTTATCGCAGGCAACCACGTCCCATCACTCCTCTCGTAAGTGAAGAAAGCTCCCTCTTAAATCCAGCTGTTGCCCCATCCAGTCCTACAGGAAAGCTGGTCCAGAAACTCATTGCTATGGGTAGCCCACAGGACTTTGTAAGGGGGACCTGGCAACACAACACATAAAACCCAGCTCTGTTCTTAAACTGCAGTGATCTCATTTGAGGTCACACACATTAAGCCAGTTTGTACTTGCGTGTTATACTTCAAGCTGTTTAAGAAGGTGAATATGGACTGGTATCCTGTGTGTGCTCAGGGTCACTTCTTGGTCCTCTGGTGGTACTGGATTTCAGCACTGCAGGGCAGTTTGCATCTTCCCACTGACACTGCTGCTTCATTGCAATGAGAAAGTGGCACCACAGTAGGTTTGTCCTGTGAGGATTTGCAAAACACTTTTGAAAGTTACCAAATCTATACTCAGTAGCTAAATCAACTTGGTACAACCAGGAAAAATCACCAAATGCTGAAGTCTGAGGCATGAAACCACCACAGAAACTAGGGATGAGAAAGATAGAAGGCAAATAGACTGAAGTTTCTATGCTGTAGGCTATATAGATTAGTGGGTGCATCTACGCTAGACATTTACTACACAGCTGCCTAACCATGTCTGCAGTAGTGTCACATCTACACATGCAGTGCTATTAGGACGGAGTAAAATAATTAACTCCACTGTAGGATAGTACAGCAGGACACAAGCACTATCCTACAGCAGAGTTATTTACTCTGCTGCAACACACTGATGCCGACGGGGCTAGCTGGGGCACGAGGGTGCTTCAGAGGTTACTCATCCACATTAATTGCATGTGCAGATGTACTCAGTGCTCCTCAACTAGGTGCCACAGCCCCCTGGGATGCCTCGAGATCCTTTCAAGGGTCAATGTTAGCACTGCGAGGGGTGCAAATGCGATTCACAAGATAAACACAGATTCCAAATAAGTGTTAAAAAAGGGTCCACCTTGCTAGGGTCGGTCCAAGTTCTTTGCAACAAAAAAACCCCTTTTTAATTTTTGTGTGGTCAAAAAGAAGAGAAAATTAAGAGCTGGCATTTTCCAAAGGAGCCTTCAGCCTAATGAACAGTGCTTTGAGTCTAACAAGGCTGAGAACCACTGCCATAGATAAAACCTGGACGCTAGTTGCCACAGAGAGCGCTAGAGGCAGTAACATCGGCTGTCAATTGGGCTGTGGGACAGACTCCTGTGACTCAAAAATTCCTAGGACAGAAAGGGGTTTGCAGTCCTCCAGCCAGACCTCCTGCCAAACAGGCTGCAACTTCTCACTTTGAAATCCTGCCCTGAGCCCACTGGCTGGTGGCTGAACCAGCAGGTGTTATCTAGACTGGGGCAGGGTGGGACCCTGGCACCCTAGGCATGTTCACTGCTTAGTTTTCTGCTACAACATTGTCAAAAGGATCATTTTTGATCCTTCTCTAGGCTCGTTTCTGGGCCAGCTGCTGGAGGAACCCTGCTTCCCATTACAAGCCCCTACTCCTCCACTCCTGGTAGACTGTCTTTGGAAAGCAGAGTGAGGCATGCTGATCATCGCTTACGAAGCCCTCCCTTGACTTTCTATCCCAGTTTGCTAGGTCATGTCAAACATATGGCTAGACGGTGTTGTCCTCAGGGGGGGAAACTCCATGACAATATGGGTCTAATACAACAGTATGATCTCAAGTGGCCTTAGCCACTGGCTGCATCTGCAGAGTCAGCTACAAGTAGCACAGAGGCAGAAAAAAGGCAGCTCCATAGTAAATAAAAATCGGTTTTTTGCTCACCTGCATCCAAACCCACAGTCTTCAAGTTCTCCCAGCATTGCCTAAGTATTCCAGACTGCCTTAGAAATCCTAAGATCATAGAAAATGAGGGCTGGAAAGGGCCTCATGAGGTCACATCTAGTCCAACCCCCTGCTCCAAGCAGGAGCAGCCCCAACTACATCATCCAGCCAAGGCTTCGTGTAGCCGGGCCTTAAAAACCTCCAGATGGAGAGTCCATAACCTCTCTAGGGAGCCTGTTCCAGTGTTTCACTGCCCTCATGAGAGTTTTTCCAACTATTCAACCTCAACCTCCCTTGCTGCAGCTTGAGCCCATTGCTCCTTGTCCTGCCATCTGCTCCCACTGAGAACAGCCCAGCTCCATCCTCTTTGCAGCCCCCCTGCAGGGAGGTGAAGGCTGCTATTCAATCTCCTCAGTCTTCCCTTCTGCAGACTCAATCAGCCCATTTCCCTCAGCCTCTCCTCACCAGTCCAGTCCCCCAGCCCACAACCATTTTCCTCGCCCTCCACTGGACTCTCTCCAATGTGTCCACATCCTTTCCATAGTGGGGGCCCACAGCTGGACACCGGACTCCAGATGTGGCCTCCCCAGTGCTGGAGAGAGAGGAAGTGATTCTTCCCCTCGATCTGCTAGCAACGCTCCTCTCAATGCAGCCCAGGATGCCATTTGCCTTCTTGGCACCAAGGGCACACTGCTGGCTCCCATTCAGCTTCTTGCCCACTGTCACCCTGAAGCCTTCTCCCAAATCCCAGGCCTTTATGATCAGAGGAGCAGCTTAGCCATTCTCCTGCAGGTTTAATTAACCCTGCTGGCTCCAGTCAACTCTCTTGGATGGAGTTGGTGGGACATGGATCCAGACTGCAGCCGGGAGTGGTAGCACTCTTAGGGGTTATTGCAGTTCAGCAAGGGGCTCTGCAGAAGGCATTAATACACAAGACTAGAGGAATTAATGCTGTTCTCCACCCAAATGCCTTAGTCCGGGGAACCCTGGAGGCTTGTCTAATCAAGAGAGTCGGTGTAATTCTTGTGCAGGGTAATACTTTGCTATCTCCTACACACTGCAGCAGCCATGCCACACTTCCTCCTCCGACGGAGTGAGCATTCCCAAGACTTCCCGTGTCTCCCATGACATTGCCAACCTCCTTGTTTGCTTTCCTCATCCAGTGTCCAGGGCAAAGTTCTCCCCCTGAGGAAGTGTTTCTGGCTTGGCTGATCAACAGCAGCTTGGGCCCAGATGAGCTTGCAATGAGATGCAACTGCTTGTCCTATAATTGTTATATATAAATTGAAGTCAAATGGGAGATTCAACCTACAGGTGTTATACTATAAACACCTGTAGGTTGAATCTCCCATTTGACTTCAATTTATGTCCAGAACGTCCTGGTGAAATTTCAGTTTACAAACAGACATCAGAGTGCCCTAAAATAACTTATATTGCAGGCCTTAGACAGAGACCAAAGGACAGATATTTCCTGATGAGGACCTGCACAGTGATGGCCGAAGGAAATGATTCCTGTCTGCATGGCTGTGTAGCCACAGACCTGCCAGCAACCCCAGATAATTTAGTTTTTGGGCTGTAATTTTTTCCATAGACTGGAAATATTCAAAAGGTCTGGGGTCTCACAGCATACCCCTGCCAAGGCCAGTCAGGCACAGACGTGATAAACTCTTTAAAGCTCCAAGCGCTATAAGAGCCTGAGACTTTGTATGTTAGTATTGTAATCACAGCACATGGAGAAGTGGGGCTGGCAGGGAGCACCAGAGGTCCCATCTAGTCCAATCCCTGCCTGAGGCAGGATCAGCGCTGGCCAAACCGTCCTACACACATCCATTGTCTGACCTCTTAGCAAAACTACACAGATGTAACATTTAACCCTGGGCTGGTTCTATTCAGGTCAGTCATCTCTGATAGTCTGAATGGTCTCCAAATGCCTCAACCTGTGAAAAAATGTTGCTTTCCTTTAGTTCATAAACAACCCCCCCCCCCACAAAAAAAAAAAACTTAAGTAATAAGCCTCCTTTTGAGACTGAGAACAGGAACACCGGCTGCTGCCCTGCCTACCTGTGCTGTCGCCTGTTGATTTCTAATAGCCGATTTCCTAAAAAAAAAAAAAAATGCTTTTTTGGTTTTGAGACTGACAGCTATGTCTTTTTTCACACTCGTGCACCTAAGTTTCATTTTGCAGTGGGGTAGAAATTATCCCGCTGCTACTCATCCCATCTGACCAATAAATACAAAATGCAGAAGCAGCATTAAGAGCAGGGCCAGAGCCTACAGCCCTCTCTCCCGCGTGGCAGCATCTCTCTCTCTCTCTCTGCCCCACATCTCTTCCCCTCCTAGCTGCCCCGTGAGCCAGCTTCAAGAGCAGGCTGGAAATTGCCCTAGGCAATGCCCAGTCCATGGCCTGGTGATCAGAGCACTCTGCTGGGAAAGTCAAATTCAAACCCTCTCTAGGTAGAGTGGGGCTGGAAGCTGTTTTCCACCCTAGGCAAGTGCTCTATCCACTAGACCATTGGGCTAAATGCACAAGGGCTCTCTTCCCCACCTGCTAGTGTTACAGACATGCACCAGGCAATCCTATTCCGTCATGGGTGCAAAGAAAATCAAAACTGAGGGGCCCAAAATTGCAGATACCTAGCTATACAAGGGTCATTTGCCTCATAAAGGCAGTGTCCTCATTTCCTGTGCATCTGGCAGGATTACAGGCCATTCCTTTTGCATACTGTCATTCTGGATCAGCGGTTCATCTGACTTAATCCCCTGGAACTACAGCCCTGCATCCATGGCAGAGACTTTGGTGTGTGGAGCACTGTTATGTGGTGGAGGGAGGTTGGCCATTACTGCTGTACCAAAGTAATGTCACATGCACCCATGCAAAGACCAAATGGTTCTTCAACTAGGATCTAGCCCCTAGAGTGGACAACGTACCCCAGAGAAGCCAGCAGACAGACACCCAGAGGACAGGTGGTCATCGCAAGATCTGTCTTGCGCTGACTGCCACAAAGGGCCACCAATTCTTGCAAGCTCACGTGAGCCTGGACGAGCCCTAAAGCAATGCAAGTATCATCAGATTGGAGAATTCAATGCTGTGGCTTGGTGATAAACTAGCAGGAGCAAAAGGTTAAGTAGGGGAAGATCATGACAATGAAGCTCATGGCACAAGAGAGAGGCTGCCAGGTAGGTGCAGCCATTCAGGTGAAAAGGAGCTGCTCATCAAGGAAAGCCAAGAGGCTCACTGTACTTTCCACAGGAAGAAACCTTTAATTTACTGATCCAAGAGAATGAGTGTTTCCCCCTGTACTTTAGAAATGTTTTCTATGCATTTTTTTTTTTTTTTAAATATAAAAGAGGAGCAGCTGGTGGTGCTTTAAGAGGCATCTTCATGCAGCATGCTGGGTCACTCCAGAGCAGCTTGAGCAGAACTGGGAAGGGCGCTTGACTGCAGATGCTTGCTCACTAAAGCCAGAGACTGCTACAAGAGAGGAGGGAGGAGGACAAAAACCTAACAATGGGACAATTCAACAGCACGTGGAAGAACGCTGCCACTTCCCACTGCACCAGGGAAACAATAAATAAGAGACAGCTTTGTGACAAAGGTCCCATAGTCCAGAGCAAGCTGCAGCGAGGTCTCCTAGCAAACGACTTCCTCACTGCCGCAAGACTGACCTAGCATAAATACAGCATAAATAAAAGCTAGGCTACGTGCGATTAAATACATGAACAAAGTTGGTATCGCAGTTCATCCTTGCCCCCGAGACAGAGTGAGTCCGTGCTTTACTGTCCTATCAGAACAATTCAGTGACTTTCACCAGGACTTGTGCAAACTAGTGAGCTTCTACTGGGAAAAAGATCGGACAGCTACTGGCGACTCAGGGCACTTGTACTCCATTTATGCTAAGTAGGTGATGCTATTTTGTAGGGTATTTCCGAAGCAGCCAACAGAGCAAGGAGGCTGGGCAAATATCCGTGGGACACTCAGGGCCCAGAGAGGAGGCCGAGACGTCAGCAAGGTCTCACAGCAGACCCCAGGCCAGCGGGGCCATCACACCAGGGATCTGTTCCTCCCAGAGAGAGACAGCTGGATGCTGTCACGTGCCCCGAGTGCAGGGGCCTTGCTGTGGGTCCTCAGTGCAGTGCGATTCCCAGGCTTGCTGTATTCAGAGGTGACACCCCAGGCTCACGTGTGGCTCCTCTGATGCAGCTGAAGGTACTTGTTCTGCGTGAACCGCTTCTTGCATTCAGGGCAGGCAAAAGGTCGCCGTCCGCCCTGGGACCCCGGCAGGGCTGCAAGGTCAGGCTTCTGGCTCGCGGCCCCTCCACTGGCCGAGTGCGGCTGATCTGCTGTGGGAGATGGATGGGCGGCAAGCCGCGGGGCCTGGCCGGCGACCTGATCGGCATGCGTCCTCTGGTGTGCCAGCATGATCCGCTCATCCCGAAACCGCTTCTCGCACACCACGCACTGAAAGGGCTTCTCCTCAGCCCGGGTGCGCTGGGCGCATGGTGCCGCTGCGCCCATCTCATCCCCACCCAGCAGCCGCGTGCCCCGATGGACCCGCTGGTGGCTTTTAAGGTGCTGCTTCTGGCTGCAGGTCTTGCCGCACTCCCCGCAGCGGTAGGGCCTCTCACCCGTGTGGACGCGCTGGTGGATGACGAGCGTCTTCTTGTCCTTGAAGCTCTTGCCGCAGTGGGCGCAGGGGTAGGGGCGCTCGCCGGTGTGGATGCGCTGATGGCTGACCAGGTGGTGCTTCTGGCTGAAGCGCTGCCCGCAAGCCGGGCAGGGGAAGGGCTTCTCGCCCGTGTGCACACGCTGATGGCTCAGCAAGTGGTGCTTCTGGCCGAAGTGCTTCCCGCACGCTGGGCACGGGAAGGGCTTCTCCCCGCGGTGCACCTTCTGGTGGGACACCAGGATCTGCTTCAGGCGAAAGGTGCTGCCGCAGTCCGGGCAGGCGAAGGGGCGGGCCGGCGTGTGCGTCCGCTGGTGCTTCCGCAAGTCCCGGCTCTTGTTAAAGCCTTTTCCACACTGGGCACAGAGGTGCGGCCGCTTGGGTGCTGGGGGACTTCGCAGGGGCCGCATCTGCAGCTTCTGGGGCTGGCTTCTTCCGCTCCCGGGGGCTGTGTCCTTCCTCCCCATGTGGGTTTTTTGGTGGCGCTTGAGGTCCCCCTTGGAAGGGAAGCCCTTTGCACATGTGGGGCACTTGTAGGGACGCTCCCCTGTGTGGCTCCTCTCGTGGATGGTCAGAGCCGTGTTGCTCTTGAAGCTCTTGTCGCACTCGGGGCATGTGGGCGGCTTCTTCTTGAGTGAGACCCTGGGGTGAGGGGTTGCTGAAGGCTGGCTCGGCGCACTGCCCCCCTGGCTGCGTGGCTTATCGAGGGTCTTGCTTTGAGCCGCGCTGCCCTGCGTCTTTGTGCCCTGCGAGTCCACGCATCCTTCGGATTTTCCCGAGAGAGCAGCAGGGGACTCCTGGGTCTCTGCACGCTCCTCTTCCTCCTTCTTAACCTGAAACACATCATCTGCTGGGAAGGAGAGAAGAGCACAGAGGTTATTTTCTGGAGCAAGACAACTGCAAGTTCAGCGTCCCCCATGCTGCAGAGAACCCTGGCAAGGGTCTGCGGACGAAGCTCTGAATTTCTCTGGGGAGTTGGGAAGTCTCCTCCCTTCCTACCCAGGACAGAGATGTTCTCCTCACATCAGAGAAACAGCTGCATTAAAGCTGAGCAGGTCTTATCCTTGCAATGCTGAACTCTAATGCAATACCACTGAGACACAGCATTTGCCATCAGCAATGCAGAGCAGCCTCAGTGCCCGCAGCAGAACTACGCTGTGCTATGTAGAAGCAAGTTTTGGACCCCATGGCCACCCCAGAGAGGCAGCCGGGCTCCAAGCCCATGCAACTAGTGGCCTCTCTCTCTCTCTCTCTCGTGGGTTAGACGTCAGTTTTGTTCACTCCAATCCTCACCCTGCCCATTGCCACAGCATCAGAGGTCCTGGACACGGGCACACTTGGGTGCTGTTCCAGCTGGTAATCTTCTCCCACATGGAGCATATAACTTAATTATTCTAATGGGAAGTCATGACTGACCCCAGGCCTGGTGCCCCCAGGGGTGTAGTTGCAGTCCCATCACGAGGGAGCTTCCTCACCCTGCCTACCCCTTCCTCCCTGCTGATGCATCACCCTGCCTGGGGTGGACTTCACCCCGTGCCACCCACCAGACCAGGCCCCCGTTACTCACCAGACCAGGAGTGTCGGGGCTTCCCCGGCACACTGGGGTCCGCAGGGTCTCTGACACACGGCTCTTCCTCCTGCTCTATCTTACAGATGATCTCCGGTTTGACAGATGGCCAACCTGCCCGGGACAGGGAACAAGCATCTTTCACGTGTGCTGGTGGGCTTGGGGTCTGCCTTCTCCGAAATAACCCCTCAACTCCAAATCCTTGGCCCAAAGCATCTCACCGTCCTCCATCCCCTACCAGCTTTCTGCCCCTCTCAGACACAGGCCTGTTGTCAGGTTCCTCCTACCAGGCTCTGGTCTGGTTCTCCATCTTCTGTTTCCACTAATCTACCCGGCCTCCTGCCCCGATCTGCTGCCCTGTGGTCTCCCTTGTCCGTCACAGGCCATAGCCCCAGGGACTGCTCTCTGATCCTCTATGCACAGGGTACATTATGGCTCCTGGTGCTCAGTGATAGAGGGACACACCAGCACATAAGTCCAGCTTATGACCCTGGGGCTGAGGCTTCCCAGACTACATTTGGGCCCCGAAAAAAAATCGAGGCAGGTGGACTTTCAGTTTCCAGGGCTCACTGCAGTTTCTCAGCCCCAGTGAAACATGCAGGTTCCTTGCCCTGGAGCTGCCCAGCCCTCGAGCACAGGACGCCTCACCCAGTGAGGCCACCAGCTCATAGTTCTCCATCATCACGTCACGGTACAGCTCCTGCTGCCAGCCCGCCAGCTCTGCCCACTCCTCCGGGGAGAAGTAAACCGCCACATCCTCGAACGTCACCGGCACCTGCAAAGACAAGCGATCCCGGGTCAGTGTGTCGGGCTGCACCAACCCTGCAGCCTGCTCACAGGGTTGCAGCTGGGGTCTGATCCTGCTGCCACACAGCACCACCCCTGAGCCAAGGGAGGGATGCAGCCCTGTCTACAGGACTGGGGAAAAAGGATTTCAGTGTCACCCAGTAAACAAAGAATTAAAATAAAGAGAGAGAAAGCTGCAGGCTATGGAGCAGAGGGCCCCGTTCCCTGCCTCACCGCGCCAGGTCTACCCTCTGGCAGGCTGAAGGCAGGGGGTGCAAGGCCAAACAGCAGAGGAAGGAGACCAGAGGTTGCAATGCTGGGGAGGGGGCAAGTGAAGAAATAAGAGGAGAAGACCGGGTGGGTTGGTATGGGAAGGGAGTGAGGGCACCCCAATATCCCAGCAGAGATGCTCCCAGCTCTGAAGACAGTGCAGCCCCAGAGAGCGAGTGGCAAAGGAAAATGAGGCAGGGCTTTATAGGGGACCCCGTATTCAAGCAGCCCGCCTGGCATCAAGAGCCCGGGTACTTCTTGGGTAGTCATCTCCTCAGCCCTACAGAGCAGTCCCGATAGCATGAGGTGCAGTAAGGGGACCCCTGCCAGCCACCCCGAGCAGCAGACAAGACCCAGGATACTTGAGGACAGAGCACTGCTCTGCCCAGGCATCTTCCTGCTGTGCACAATGCAACCTTGCCAGCTCCCCAGACTCCAGATTCACCTGGATTTCTGCAAGTACAAAAATAGAAATGCCTTCCAGAAAGCAGGTGGCAGTCCCTACGCTGCTGTGACAGCCCCCTGCATCTATTTATAGAGACAACTTAACGAGGCACCAGTTTTACAGTGCTTCACACCATGACCCGTGCTCCAGCATCTCCCCAGGACTCTCACTCCCCATTGGAGCATCGGATCACCGCGCTCTCACACCGGCAGTCATAACAAGACTACACATACAGTCTCTCGCCCATCTAATACCTCAGGCATCCATAGACTTACCTGGGCTTGGCTGCCTTCTCTCTAGGGTTACAGCTTTATTGGATTTTGTATGGGGGGTTGGCCCATGTGCTGCACTTCAGGTCACTCTAGTGTCCCCTACTCAGCATGCCCCCCCGGGGCAGCTCTTCAGGCCCTATTCTGCACCAACATGCTCAGCACTTTGGGTCATCCTTGTGCACCCTACTCTAGGCGAGCCCTTTGCTACTTTCACCACTGCACCCCGCCACCAAGGCAGAATGGGGCTCAAGTGCCCAGAGACGTGCCTGGCCCCACCCTGGGTAACCCAGCAGAGTGCGGGGGTAAGGTTATTAGGCATCCCTACTCACCTTCCACCAGGGAGGTAACTGGCCTGGCATTTCTGGGGGGCTGCTCCACCATGAGCAGTCCCAACAGGCTACCCATCCCCAGCAGGGTGCAATTTTCAGTCAGGACCTGGACCTGGACCTGGACCTGGACCTGGACCTGGACCTGGACCTGGACCTCCAGGGTGCTCTGAGCAGCAGCTCAACCAGATGTTGCTCTGTTGACTGCCAGCAGCAAAGTGCTGCTGCAGCCCTAGACAGCCTGGACCTAAAAAGGAGGCTGCTCAGCCCCCTCCACCAATCCTAGGGCCCTCCTGCAGGCAGGTGACTGCCACATTAGGGCTAGCCCGCACCTGCTGGCTGCCCTGCTCACTGCCATATAGCCCTTAAAGTGGCAGGCACCGCGGGTGCTCTGCCACAGTGACAGTTAATCCGGTTAAGCTGCTTCAGCTTGGGGCAGGGCATGACTGCGTCCAGGAATGTGGAAAAGGGATCATCCTCCAACTTCCCAAGTGACTGCAACAACAGGCACGGGATTGTTGCAGCCCCCCTCGCTGAAGTCTTCTTTGCGATTTCTACAATAGCCCTAAGAGGCTGACTTCAATCTCACAAAGGCCAGAACTTCCCCCCATGTATTTTGGTAGAGCAGAGTAAGAAACACAGGCAGGCACAGCATGAAGGGTGTGGATTTCCCCCACGTCTGATGGACTGGGAAGTAGCTGTGGCGGATAATATGGGTCTAGGGGTCCCCAAGAAAACAGTTCAAGTGATGACAAGTCCGGATCAGGACACATCACGTGCAGGAAGCATCAGGAGGGTGTGAGACAGTCCAGGTTGTCTCTTGTCCCTGCCTTGCCAGCGTTGCCACTGACTTTGCTGTGCTGCAGCTTAGCAGACGCAGGCAGGGCAAGAAGGGAGGGGGCAGAGGCTTCATCCTTTGCAGACGCCGTGTCTCATGAATAGACTAGTGATAGGCAGATGGCCCTGCAAATTCAATGTGATGAACCGAACAAAGCTGGCTCCTTCTGCCAAGCTCCTTTTGCATCCTCCCAGGTGCAGCAGAGGCCTAGAAAAATAGTAGGTCCCAGTGCTGCTTTCCCTGCAGTCACTGTGCAGAGGCCTGAGGACAAACAGCGGTGAGGCCCCAGCACGAGCAATGCTTTCTGCCATCAAGGGAGGGACTGGAACATCTTTCAGAAATATCCAAAAAGGACAGATACAAGCAAGTGCTTCTTTGTAGCCTCAAAGAGGGGAGCCAGCCTGGAGGCAGGCACTGCAGCCGGTGGATCACAGGAGCTGAACTGCTTCATCTGAACGTAAACGCTTTGGAGGAAAGAGCCCGGGGTAGAATCATAGAAACAGCAGAGAAAATCAGAGGTGTGGGGCTGGCAGGCAGCTGCAGAGGTCACATCTAGTCCCAGCCCTGCCTGAAGCAGGATCAACCCTGTGCAAACCAGCCCAGATGAACCCTGTGTCCAACCACTGAGCAGCACGACACAGTCACCCCTGACACAGACCCAGGCATCACCCCTGCCCCTGCCCCCAGGAAAGCAGGGGGGCCGCGGCGCCAATGTGCTGCCACTGCAAAGGTTGCTAATATACACACGAGGCCACACCACCCACTGCAGAGGAAGGCAGCCCTCCCAGTCCGCACCAGTCTGAGCAGGGGGGAAATCCCTTCCTGCCCCAGTGCAGCGTGGGGCTGAGCCTGAGCGCAGGGGCCAGACCCTCCAGGGTTGGTGCCAGCAGGAGCATTGGCACAGCTCAGCCCCATCCCCAGCCTGGGCTGCAGCAGCACCAGTGCCTCTGGGGGAGGCGAAAAGACAGGTGCCGCCAGGCCAGGACAGCCTGCCTTCGTGGGCATCCCCGCTCTCCCTCCCTCCCCGGGCACCTCCTCTAGAGACTCAGCCAGCTCTGGGATGCTGCAGCCGCCCGGCTCCTGGGTGCAGCCCAGCAATGGGGAGAAGTGGGGCAGGGGCAGGGGCAAGGGGAGAGGGCAGGGTGCGGGGTGCAGTGGTGGGGCAGAGGCAGAGGCAGGGGTAGATGCGGTGGCGGGGGCAGGGGCAGGGGCAGGGTGCAAGGGCAGGGCGGTGCAGGCTGCCCGAGGGGATGCTGCGCGCCCGTCCCGCGGGCTTCCCGCTGCCCC